ATTTTGTGTCTATATTACATATACATATATATATACTATGTGTACGTGTATATAAATATATTTATATCTGCAATTGTTTGACAACATTAAATTTAGTGATGTATTAAATTGTTGAGTAAAGTTGTGCCTAACGATCTGAGTTGTGGCTCAGTAAAAACGGTCGATTGAAGCTTTGTTTTCGCGCTAACGATGCATTATTACGCGCCGGGAATATAATATATGTATGAAAATAAATTGCGCGTGTGAAGAATCTCTCGCGACGCTTTACAAAACCGAGTGTCGCGATATAAACGTGCAGTGCATCGCGCGATCGATAAGGGTGAACAAAATCCCGGTTACCTCGTCACGAACGAACGGTCGGCCGATCCACTCTCGTTGCCCAGATATTTTACCATCGATTCCCCACGCGAACATTCCGGCATGCGCAACATCCCGTAGCTTGTTTATGTGTAATGTTATATCGGCAATCGCGGCTGTTCGCGCGCGGGTTTCATTTGTATTTTATGTTCGGGTTGCATTTCTGCAACGCGGAGGCGCGAAAGCTCTTACCCACAATTGCAATAATAGCCAATAAAGCCCGTTATTTTGCAATCAACACGGACACCGGGAGAAAAATGCTTGTTTTCTTCTATACGGGCGTTGTTAGAGGAAACGAGCGCGAATTTTGCAACGTTTATTGGAAATATAGTAATTAAGCCGAGACTATATCGCGTTCCGATAGTAACGCGGGTTATCGTAAGCAGTGGCATAGATCGTAATATAGGAATAATATAAACACAGGATTTTTGCTCATAAATGCGGTTAGTCGGATCAAGTGCTTAAGCTCAGTACCTTTACTATAATAAATTGGATTATATCCTTTTTTTTATTAGATTTTGTTGGTCATTAATTATTTCATGCCGCATCTCATCCCTCTAGCTTTTGTTTTTCCAACCGCTCGAGATACAAAATTTAATTTGACGATTATAATGATTGATAAATTGTTACATTTATTCAAATTTTTATTGCTAGATAAATTATAAAATATGTACTTGTTTATGTTTGCTGAGAATTGCATTAATTATTTATACATTGAATAAAATTTGAATTTTGCACGTGCATTATGCAACGGTGTTAATCGATTTTATGGAAACGCGGAACGATTCTGCATTTGATATCTTTTGCAATTGTGATTTATTCATATTTGACTCGTATAGCAAAAAATCTCAATAAAGATAACTTTCAACGATTACATTTAACATAAAATAATTCAGATGTATAAGAGATATAAGATATATTATTAAAAGATATTGTAACGCGTCAATTAGTATCTGTTCTTTATCAATATTTTATTAATATTTATTATTTCAGAAAAAATAACACATGTGATACTTTATTATAAACAAAAAGTATATGTTTAATAATGCAAATTTATTTAGATGATCAATCAAATATAACTTGTAATGCAAAATAAATATTGCTAATTAAGATTAACAAGATATCTGATAAAAGAAATGTCACAAAAAATGTTAATAGATAAGTTATACATCTTAATACATCATCATTATTTATACACGAAGCAAAAGAAATAATAGAAAAGATGAATTTCAATTGCAAATAAATGATAATTTTTTGGGTATTAAGTAATCCAAGTTTTTTTTAGAAATCAGTTAAAAGCTACAAAGAGAAAAGGAAGAGCTAAAAAGCTTCATTTTTACGGAAAACAATCTATACATATAAATCAATCTATTTATCTCGCTACATTTAGGCGTGACATCTCTTCTACCTGCATTTATACGCGCGTGTCTTTACGGACAATAAATTACTACTAGTATCGAGAGCATTCTGCGTAACGAGATGTGCAACATTTACATGTTATCTACCTCTCTTTTGCGAAATTACACTCTCAAAAAGCGCAAGATCGAGTCTCACAATGGCGTGTTATCTGCGCGCAGCTTACGCCAGATGTGGCCCCGTGTGTGCCTTGAAATTATTTATCGCGCTTAATCACCGATCTTTCCCTGCGACCCTTGGATAGCAGTTAACCCATACCCATTCCCCGGCTTAATGGCGAAAACAAACAGCACTCGACCCGCCGAATATCTTCTCGAGCGAACTAAATGTCTCACGGGCATCGTGCGCCATACGCGAAATGTCTAATCGTGACGTTCCGCTGTTTGCACGTTATGCCCAGCTATTTCGCAAAGATACATTTCCATTTACTCTACTCTGTAATTCCGCATGGGAGTAAAATCGTTAGGTCAGTTGCTTCCTAGTTGCTTCCCTATCCGATGTTATGCGAAACAGGGGCCAGGATAATATTAAACGTGATTAATAAAAGCGAGAAATATTTCGAGGAATATTTATAACTCTTCGTTTGCGATTCGTTTATGATTCGTGAATAATTTAGGGTGAAAAATTGGTCGAATTTGACTATTTGAATTTTTTTTCATACTATTAATTCGCGAATATAATTTGCGCTAATTTAAGATCCTCGGGAATCAATCTGACGGCGTCGATAATGCATCCCAATATATAGTTTGATCGCCGCGAAGCAATACTGACGGTCGTCTACCGGCAACATTATAAATCCATTTAAGTTTTGTAGAAGAAAACATTATGTTTCTTCGCGCTCCCGGTCTCGAGAAAGCGCGTTCTATGCAGCACATGTTTCATGCATTTTTATCCCATTTCACGGAGTGGTACGTTACGTGCGCGATGCATCTACATTATGTAAACGTTGTTCCCACGCTAGATTATTTATTATACTAATTACGGAATTGCGACCCTCGACTCCCCCAAGAGCTGGCTCGACGGCGCGAATAGTTTATCTCGAAATAAGTTGTACCCGTAAACGGTAGCCTCTTTAGCCGCGAGACGCTCAATGAAGTTTATCAGAAGCATTTAATCCAACGTGCACATATGTTGAATTAATTTAACTCGTGCAGGATAGCGCATTTTCTTCTTTACTATCTGTTTCTTGCATAAAAGACAAAAAGAAACATACGCAGTCGTGTCTTTTTCTCTTTCTCTCTCTCTCTCTATTTCTCTTGCATAAATTAGAGACTGGCTTTTCCCTTTGATCGCTCTTTTGAAATAAGATTCAAAGCGTCTCGAAATTGACGAAAAGACGGAAACGATTATCGATGACCGCGAGCTTTTCAAGTGGAAATTACTATTGAAGGACAACCATTGCGCTTCTCGTATTTCGCCGCCAGCGATGAGATTTGGAAATATTCGCGACTGTGTGACAGCTCTAAGCGCGAATAAAGCGTTTTCCGATCGCGACGAACATTTATGAACTTGTCCTGCTGTTTCGTGTAAACGAACGAGCAAGAAATATGAATGTTAAAATCAATTCGCATCGCAATCTAGCGTTTTTCTAGTTGTTCGCACACACACACACACAGACACATAATCCTTATCAGCATTTATATTCTCCAAGAATGCATAATTATCACGAGTGCATAATTAACACGATAAACACGAAAATAATGTGTTCTGTTTGACTTTCATCCATTATTAATGTTCATGCAATGTTAATACAATCAAACTAATAAAGTTTATATTAATCCATTATTTGCATTATATGCTGCAGTATTATTCTCGATTAAACGCTTTATTTAAAATATAAACACTGACGAGATATAATCAATTATGTTAATTGGGATAATAATTATGTATAATGATGAAAATTTGTCATCCTGTATATAAGAAGATGATTACATTAATGTTAATAAAATTTTTAATTAATTTATACCAAATTTTAACAATATATATTATATATATATATATATATATATATATTGTTTGACATTATCAATGATGCAGGTAATGGTTCCGTTTTCTTCAGAGTTTATAACGCAGATAATAACAAAACTGCTTTTTTAAAGACGAATTGTTTGATTATTCTCCCGATAGATGCAACTCGCAATTGTCGATGCTCAGTCAACTTATACTTCGCATAAATCGATGACGCTATAGCTTGAAAATTATTCTTCCTGAACGGAAACGTGCTTAAAAAGCAAAATATCTTCCCTCGAGAGATCGAAACGAATGAAGATATATACTACTTGCATAGGCTTAATCTTGGAAAAATCTCTCGCCAAGAAAATATATCTCTCATTCTTATTCGATATCTTACTGAATAATAGAATGTAACAAAACGGAGATATCTTTTCACTCAGCAACAATAAATATTTTGAAGAATTATTATAACATTTTATCAAAATTATATATTTTATAAACTATATTTTTCTCATGCATCTAAATATGTAATCTTAACAAATATGATTAATAATAATAAATTCTTACTATATTCTTAATAACAAATTATTAATAAGATTGCAATAATCTTTTTCTATAATTATTGGATAATTTGTAATTATGATAGAATAAACAATATACAAGTAAATACAAATAATGTATATGCCAACCGCTTGTATGGATAATAAATTTTCTAGATTAAAGTTTTGAAAAGTAACAGCTGTACGTAAATCTTATTTTAATTACTGCTATTCAGATTACATATTTTTGATATATGGCAAAAGTTGAATGAATGCCTCAAACTTTCAACTTGACACTTCCCATCACTTATGAAAAGTCGATCAATTGCAAAACAAGTTTGTACAATCAGTGATCGATAAAGCATTAAATCACGTCGTAAAGTTTTAATTCGCAGACTGAAAAATTTACCTAAATTATTTATGACCGTCCCACTTTCCGACCGGTGCGGTGCTTAATCCGTCGAATCGCATCACATTCAAAGATATCGTGCACCAATAAAATGCATCGCGTGACTATTGATAATATATAAAATTTTACGAGAATAATATTCGAGCGAACGACCCTGTCTGCATTTTTCTCGCAAATTAATCACGATTTGTCCTATATTATAAATCATGTTAATAAATATTTTTCACACTCAGACAAAACGTATTATGTATTTATGCATAGAAAGCTATGTTACATCAAATATCTTTTATATTTTTTTTCATAATATATTTCTTTATTGTTTGCAGGTGCAACAGGTTTGAAAAATCTGACGATAAGCGTACCGGCCATGGTGAGATCAGGGGATACCGTAACGCTATCATGTCACTACGACTTGGAGGGCGCAAATTTGTATACTATACAATGGTTCTTCAACGCTATAGAATTTTACAGCTACATACCTGACCGCGTTCCACCGCTCAAAACGTTTGACGTCGGTATACAAGTTAACGTGAGTAATTCATCTCAATAACTAGAAGTTACAATATTTCTTTTCAAATTGAGAATATTCCTAATTTTATAATATTCAAGATCATTGCCGTGCTAGCTCCCCAACTTTTCAAAAATATAAATACATAATGAGTTATAAGAGTTTTAACATCTGTAATATATATAAATTTAACGTAGTCGCGGATGACAATTTATCCTAACGAGTGTTCATTTTTATCTCACAATATTTAACGGAAATATTGAATGCAAGAGAAAAATCCGAAAATCGCTGAATTCGAACAGACCTTTCGCTTGCCGGGCGAATATATTATTCATTTTTGGGGGGGTTAAAGCAAAATATGAGATGATTTGACTCTAACTTATTTAGTTTCATCTTGTCATACTCTTGTTGCCCGTCTTATACGTTAAATTTATAATTATGAGTTATTTATGAGTGTTCATATCTCACAAATTAAAAATATTGAGCTCGTCGCGTTCGACAGGAATTTTATATTTTTTGGGAAAGCTGAGATGATGTCGACTCTCTCTCAACTTTTCCGTTGAATACTTGTGTTCATTAATTGATAACGATTTTTGTCATCTATATGTTCAAAATAAATTATGATATTTATAAAATTTTTTTTTTTCACATCGTAAGCTATTTTCAGCGTACACATGACAAATCATATAGTAATCGTATTGAATGAATAAACACTTAATTCAATAAGTGTAGAAGAATTTAAAGCACTAACAAGAAACTTTTTCGTATGTGCAATCTTATACAAGTGTGGATATATAAACCTGCACGACACGATCTTAAAAATCTCTACCTATATAAAATGCGCTATATGTATATGCAATAAAAAATTATTCTAAGCTAATAATCGAGAGTCACCTCGAATGCGTTTATCTCGATTACGTCCGACTTTTCAATTAACGTCTATAAAAAAATCTTATCTCTTTAATAGCACTTTTATGAAGACCAATTTTGGCCTTGATTAATATAATGTTCGTTATAATATTCACCTGCCTAAATTATGAAAAAAAAAAATTATAACATTATGATATAGTAATTTTAAGATTAAAGTTTCAATTATATATCGCAATTATTTTTCGAAATTTCTATCAAACTTTTTCATGCTTATAAACTTGTTTATTGGTATCTGGGGATTTCAGTAAAACAATCAACGCGCGCAATTTAAACAACACATAAGGAAACTTTAAATTTGATTGGTTAACGTTTTAAAACTATTTTACATCACAACATTGTTTAAATCCAACCTTCTTATTGCGTGTATTATAAATTGTATTTCCCGAGAGAGAGAGAGAGAGAGAGAGAGAGAGATGAGAGAAGCGCGTATCGATGTACCGTTAGATCCATTTATCAAACGAGCGCTCTCTTTCGAAGAGTCGTCGAGATAAAAGAACTAAAACCCAACTCGCAATTTTTGCGCTCGCGAATAAACGACGAGCTAGCTTTTTGTTACTCACGCGCGCTTGATCCGACCGTAATCTATTTTTCCGCGGAAAACAGCCTGCGCAAGTAGATTCGATAAGGGAGAAGATCTGGACCACATATTCTCTCTCTCTCTAGCCCAGCGAAACTTCTTGTCGCTCCCTGGACATTGTCTTTTCGTCTCTCTATCCGTATCTTTTCTAATCTCCCATGCATCGGGATGCCCCCATTTTTCCGCCGGTATGGCCACGACGAGGGCAAAAGTTCTCCCCGTGGATGCAGGGTAAAGTAGGGTAACGTAAGGAATCGATAGGCTGATTTATGGCGTGTACTAAGACCGCGACACGGCTTGAACCCGGGTCAAGCGAGTTCCGTGTTTTACTGACGTCGATTCAACGCCACTGCAGTCGCGAACTTCACTGCGAATCCTCCCCTATTCCTTTCTTCCTTTTTTTCGCGTCTGCCGAGAGGAGAGGTGCGATTCTTCTTAAATTTCCTGATACTCGAGAAAATGGAATCCCCCTTTCCGCAAGGGTGCACTCGGCGAGAAAGCAATATCCTGTAGGTTTGTATAACACTACCCTTCGGATGCGCGCGAGCGTCGAAGAGAAATGTTAGAGATTAATTCTCGATGTGTTTGTGCTTATTGAATATATGTGAAGTGCGGAAAGTTTCCGCACGGCAATAATGCATTTTACACAGTAAACCCATTCAATGCTATTGATTTAGTGAAAACAGCTTCAAAATCCTTATATTATATAACGAGATTTTAATATTAAAAGAATAATAATTTTCCATTAGATTTTCCAAAGCTAATAATCAATCAGTAATTTCATTATTATTAACATTTTCATCGGTTTTCATTATTAACTTCAAATAAAATTCTTTTTACGTAAAATTAAAAATATTGAAAAAATTTTAATTAATATTTGAAAGATAATTATTGACTTTTGTGACAAGATTAATATCTTTACTTATAAGAAAGAATACCGAATAACCTATATATACATATATATAATAAAAATTTTTGTAGAACTAATTATTCACACCTAATTTCTTCTCACGAATTTCACAGTGCGCGATATAATTTAAGTGATAAATATCTTAGGCGAAACAGCGTAAGAAAGACGCATATAACTTCGGTGGAGCGTGTACATTTAATAGCGTCCAGGCTGGCTTCCTTTTTGCTTCCTATTCCGGTGCCCTTTGTCCAACGACTCAAAGGAAGCACGCCGAAGTCCGGCAGGAAAATACTCTCGTGGGATCTGCGACGTGCTTTTCTGATAATTACCGCAAAGAGGCGGTCGTGAAGCGCACGAAAGCATGAACTTTATTGAACAGAACTTTGGAGGGAAGAAAAGCATAACTTAGGGAAGAGAATACGATTCTGGAAGAATGACGTGGATGAACCGGAGTGAGAAAAAGAGACCTTCCACCGGTGGAAGGAAACACAACTGGATAAAACAACATTGAAAGCGAGGGATTTAATGCATGAGAGTGTAAATGAGGACGCAAAAAACGGGAATACAAAAGGGTCGAGGGAGAAGTAATCAGAAAGCGACGCGAAAAGACGGATAAGAAAGCGAGACTGACACTTGCTTGAAAAGTGTCAGAGGACCTCGCAGTTTAAGATATTTCCAGACATGGAACAAACGGAGATGAAATGAGAAGAGAGAACAATATGGGAAGCGAAAACTATCGGAAGAAGCAAAGTAACATCGTCGCGACATTACGGAGGCTTCATCCCGAGGCAAGACGGTCTTCTCAGTTTCTTTCCTCGAAATCGCGACAATAAGGATTCAATTTTTCCAACTGCCCGAAATTCTGCATGGATTCGAAGACATTTCACGGGATTCTCGCTTTGCGCGCTTTTTAATGTGATTTAAAAATGACCCACAGATTTTTATATTAATTTTTTGTCATTATTTATATTTCGGAAAAAATCGGACAGAGAGCGATAATAAAAGCGTTAATCGTAATATCTTATATATTAGTAACATGCTGTGATGCATAGCTCCTCCGAAACAATTTAATGAACGAATATTAATTCGGAAGTGACTCCTCGGTGAATTATAAGACATTATGGCGAGACGAACGGTTTCGCCTTGCTCGAGTATATAGCAAGGCGTGCAAGATTTAAGCCCGACTCGAGCAAAGATAGATATAGGAAGCTGGGAATTTTCATGAACGTATAAAGCATCTGATGTCGGTAGGTAACTATGTGCGGTCGCGCGTGTAATCTTTATAACGAGAAATTTACAACGCTCGCGCGCGCACGCCGTGAAAATCAGCTGATCGGATTTAAAGACGTTTTCGTGATCATCTGATATGTCGGCAGTCATAAAATTATTGCAAAAAAATCCGATGTATCTCTAAACAGCAACCGCGCTAATATTCTTTTTTTTTATTTTTTCTGTCAATAAATGAGTACCCAAAGCAATTTCAAATGTTAAAATGCGTCGAAACTTTTCTTCACCCGAAATAAAATGTTAAGAGCCTTCTTGTCGATCATAATTCTGCGTTATTACCCAGAAGTACCTTTGCACGTGAAACATTTCGTAGTACGTGAAACGCGATCGTTGCGCTCGTGTGCGTCCGAAGATTTAGGATAATAATTTTTCACTATTCGATTAAGTTTTCTATCGTCTATCCCGATTGGCTCGTATATTTCCAACCCGAGTACTTTCAGTCGATATAAGAATAGGCGATATTTGTTCAACGTGAGTCATGGTCCGTAATACTATGTAACAGTACTGAGCTATTGTTACTGCGATGTAATCGATGAATCGGGAGCAAATAGCTCTCGTATTCTTCGTAAAGTTTTAACGGACGCGAAGAATAAAACTTTAAATGTTGCTTTTAAGGAGAAAAAAAACATTTTATTTGATTTATATAATTTCAATATATAAATATGCTTAATTGTATGTAAGATATTTTCGTAAAAACATATGTTTTCACTGTACGATTAATATTCAATGCATTGTTGATTATTTGAAGTGCTTCAATAACATTAAAATATATTTTTAAAATATGTGAAATTTTATCTCCGTCATTATACTCTGAAATAAAGACTTGATATAATATTACGCATTAGCGCAACTGCTATTCATATTTAAAGTAAAGTTTAACGTGTGTCAGATGTATTTGCTCATGCAGCATCATCTAATCGGGAATAGGTATATAGGTATAGAACGCGCTCTGAAAAATAGGGTGCATGTTCACACTTTTCATAAAGGAGGTAACGCGTAGCTCCCTCAGTTTCCGCCCCAGCAGATCCGAATAGTCGCGGCTGCAATCCCTTTCAATGATATTTTTCATCGACCGTCTCGTCCACGCCGATGCCAGAAGCGGAAGAAACGATGAAAAAGACTTGTCCCCTCATCCGATATAGTTTGTAAAGAAGGCGGAGACGCTCGCCGCAATGAATATAAATGCCTGCGAAGAGCAAAAGAACAGTGCTGCAAAAAGAACCGGGAACGGACGCAGCCAAATCGTACGATTCAGATTTAAAAGATTCGGATGTAAAATCGATCAGTGGTACAAAATGCGGAGCAATAGCGGAACAGTGTTTAATATCAAGATGATTCGATGCGGAAAGACATTAAAGAAGAGAGACAGATATGCCATACAGATTAATTTAATATGGATTTAATATTTCGAAAAATAAATCTTTTTAATATATATATGTATATATGCATAATACTTGAAATGAATCTACTTATTGCAACTAATTTAAAATTATAATAAAACAATATACGTAAAAATAGTAATGATGATAATAAATTATGAATTTAAATTAACATAATACTAGTATTTCTATCATGCTTCTTTTAAATTATTATTTATCTCTTATAACATGATAAAGTTATATCCTGCTTTATAACTTTATTTCCGTTTAAAAAATGGTTTAAGAGGTTTTTATATATCTTTACATTGAAATAAAATGTTACATTATTCTCTCAAAGTTCTCATGATTAATATGCACATTTATCTGGCACCCAAAAAAGTAGTATGAAGTCGAAGCACGCTGCTAACTTACTTTTGCAAAAATTATACACGTGTTTCGAATTGATGTCACTGCGTCGATATTATAAGACAAGAAACTTTTGTCTTTTGTTCTTCGACATCTGAGAGATATAGCTAAAACGTGATACTTTCTGCAAAGATAAATCAGTAAAAAATTCTTATATATATTTAAGTATACATACAGGGTTTGTCCGGAAAGTAATGCGTCGCATTTTTTTAAAAAAGAATTTATTGATCGCATAGGTAAAACAACTTAAAATTGTTCGAAGTATGACCCTTCTGCGTCAATACATTTTTGCCAACGCGATTTCCATGCGTCATAAGATTTCTGGAACTCCTTGACTGGGATGCTGTTCAGGGAGGCCGTCGAAGTAGCTTGTACGTTGTCAACCGACTCGAGCTGTTGTCCTTTGAGCTCCCTTTTCAGCCGAGGAAATAAAAAAAAGTCCGCCGGGGCCAAGTCGGGACTGTAGGGCGGCTGCGGCACCGTTGCCACACCGATCCGGGTCAGGTAGGCCGTAATAACAAAGGCGGTGTGAGCCGGCGCGTTGTCGTGATGGAGTTTCCATGAAGCGCGGATCTCCTTTCGGACGCGGGCGATCCTGTGATTCAGTCTCTGAAGCACTTCCTTGCGAACATTCATTCGACGGTCTGAATTCAATAATTGGCGCACACGAGTCACATTGTCGTCCGTTCGCGATGTTGACGGGCGTCCTGCGCGTGCCTCGTCGGCGACCTCCTTCCGACCTTCTCTAAACATCTTGTGCCATCTGTTTGACTGCGATTTGGAAAGGCAATCGTCCCCGAAAACTTTCTTGAGCATTTCAAAAGTTTCCAGCGGCGTCTTGTCCAGCTTCACGCAAAACTTTATCGCATAGCGTTGCTCTATCGTTCTCTCCATCACAAGTTCGACGCGACCACTAAGCAGAGGTTCACAGAATAAGCCGTCCTAACCCTCCAAGCGCATGGAAACAATTGAGCGACCTACCGTTGGAAAGCTAAGGGTACCCCCCTTCCTCCCCAACCGGTCCCATCGCTCTGCGATGTATAGTCGCGTCACAAAAAAATGCGACGCATTACTTTCCGGACAAACCCTGTATATATATATTATAGTATCATAAAGGTTTCTCTCTCTTTGAAACGTCTGTAAAAGCACTCTGAAGAATGTCGTTTTGAAAGGAATCCTCGCATTATTTCAGTGACAGTTTTACTAAGGATTCATACTTTTAGCAAAGCCATAACGGAATACGTGATCGATATACTTATTATCATTTTCTTTCTCTTACACAGAAATAATGAAACAAAGTAACTAAAAACAAACACGACTGATTCTGATATTGCTCTGATTTAGTTTCTTCTGTCGTCTTTTATTATTATTTGGTTATTACAACATCGTGTAACAGAATAAAAGAATGTTAACTATCTAGAAGCGGTGAATCATTCGTAATGAATATTCCTTGCATCTTATTCATTACTTCCGACTCAACTTCCTCTCAACTCGAGATTGCCGAGTATAAAGTTTAATTGAAGCCACATTGGAAAATGTTAAAATTGTTGTAGACATTTGTTGGATTTTCGTATAAATTCCAATTATAGATCTTACGCGAAAATAATTTCACGCCAGTGAATTATCGACGTCAAAGTACTTTCGAGCGTAGAAAATTAGAAAATCGTGATCGTGAAAGCCCTAATTATATATTGACATAAATTTGCCGTGCATGAAAAATGACGAAACTTTTTTATATCACTGGAAAAGAAAAACTGTGATATAGAAGAGACACAAATCGTATAGAGGAGATGCTTGTATAAGAAATAGAAAGGGTGGAGCAGCGGTGAAACACAGTAGATACATTGAGTTTCACGTTTTACAGGATTCCGAATCGAACACAAACGATGTGACATTGATGAACTTGACCAGGCAACTTACCGGGATCTACAAGTGCGAGGTGTCCGCTGGCAGTCCTTCCTACCACACTATGATAGAAAGGGCAGAATGGAAGTAGTCGGTAAGTATGTCGAACGTCGAGAATTAAAAACTTTTTCTTCCCATTCTCTCTCAGGAGAGATCAATTTGCCGTTCTGGGATTGTTCGCGCACAATATACGCGTTCCGTTTACCTCGATATTCGATTTCAAAGCGGCGTTACGTTTGGTAAATACGCATGAGGATCAACGATCAGATATAATACCGGGATTTAGACGAGATTAGCCTATAATGCTACAATAAGATTTTTCTCATTTTCAATAAACAAACTGAATCCGTTTTTCTTTCTTATCTCTTTTTTAACCCTCTCTGATATATCAGAGAGGGTTAAATACATATCTAATTTTTATTTTATATATAAGAGAGAATAATAATGTCATATAAAATATAATTATTACAAATAAAAGTATACATCTACATACTTTTTTATGTTTTTATAATATACATAATTTAATAAACGTAAACTGAAATAACACTGTCAACAAATATTCTTAAATTAATAAGAATATTTGTCAGTCAGCTCTCCTATTTTTTAAAAATCTCCATCTTCATCTCGACTAAGAGCCAAACGCGATGTTATTGCGACAAATTAATATTTAGAAATTTTTGGAAACTGAGGAATTTGAATCCTATGGTTGGGATCTCAGAACTTCCCCTTGTTCCTTCTCTTAACAACCCCTGTAAGAAAAAGACGAGAAAAATATTGGTCCGAAAGTCGGCTGAATCGGGAATCGAACCCGAGACCTTCCGCTTATATTAATATTCTTAAAGTTGTACGTAAAATAAAAAACTGCAGGTCAAGTAATCAAATCTTTAAATGTTTTGTCTAATGCATTAAAAAATAATCATTAATTATTTGATTGATTGTTGATTCCGATGATATACTTGTAAAAATAGAATAATTATTTCGTACTATAAATATAATATTTATAATAAATATGTAACGATATAATAATTCATAATTTTTTATTTTCTATTACTTTCGATTTTTTTCCGCAATAAATTAATTGCGCAAAGTATTTGTTTCGCCTAAATAATTGCAGCCTTGATATGTTTACAAATTTATAATCGTGAAGTTAATTAATCGGGTTAATAATGGCTAAATGTTCATAGAGAATAATCGTGTTTCAAAGGATAATAAACGAGCAACTTGAGTCTCGAGTTGTTTCATGTTTCATGTGTTATCCTTTGAAATGACCCGTGAATGACACAACTTGTGCAACTTTGTGTATAACGCTGATTGTTCTGTCACTCGTCACTCCAAAACATTACCTACTAAGGATTTAATATTATATAAAATAATATATTTTTTTATTTATGTATAATTATTCTGTTTTTCTAAATAAAATTATTAACAAACAGATTAATATAAAACGCTGTATTACTTAAATCACTTGAATTTAAATAATAATCAATAATAATAACAATAACAAATTAAATATCGGCGAGAGCAATTTAAAGTGGGATGCGAAATAAAATGAGTAACAATCAACAATAATTGTCGCCCGTATAAATATTATGTCATAGTAAATTAAAACTTTCATTTTCCCATCGTTTTGATTTTCACTTTAAACAAATAAGTCAATTATATTTTAAAATATATATAAATATATATATCTTGAATAAATAACTGTCCATTTTATACGGTCACAAATTATATCGAGAAATCAATTAATAAAAAAAAAAAAGAAAAGAGACGAGTCATGACACAAAAGATAACGTAGATTACAAATTGTTAAACAGAACGCGCGGCAACGACACAACGTCGGATCCATCGTTTGGACGCACTACTAGCCCTCGTCAGTGATAGTTAACACGACGAAGGCTAGTCGTAGCTCAAGTGTTTCTGTGACGCCCTCGACGTCGTTGGCGTTTCGCCAGATGTCGAGTTAGTGCCGTCGTGCAGCAGTCGTATGTGCTAAACGACATAATTATTATGCCTTAGACGCCCCAAAAACGGATCCTACGATTCGCAGTGAGAAGGAGCGCATAGCGGTGAGCGAGACGCTACGAGTCAACTGTTCCTCAGGCGACTCACGACCAGCCCCCAATGTTACATGGAAGCTCAACGGAGACCTCGTAAGTATCGTCTCTCTCTCTCCTGCCTCATCTTACCCTATATATATGTGTGTATGTGTCTTTGTAGTCGTAGTTACGTGACCTTACTGGATGATTAGAGCGCGCGGAAGACCCCGAACCGCCGCGCCTATATTCCATTCTGTGTTGTGTTTCGACCCCTTATCCCCACGTTCTATTACGCCATATACCGTTCACTAGAGGCTTCTCTCCTCGGGTACCGCAGCAATTTCGAGGTACCAGCGTCGCGGGATTTAAGCGAAAGAATCGACGCGCGCGACGCCGCACCGTAGCAAATTTGTAGCACGTAATACGATTTTCTATGCAAATTATCTTGTAAGAAGGAATAATGAAGTTAATGAGAAAAGTTATTAAAAGATAGAATTTTTAGTGGAGTTGAAACCAATCAAAATGTTGTAAAATATGGTAACTATATTGGAGAGTTAGCTCTACATAAAAAAATTATCTTACTACAGAAACAGAGTTATGAATATGAATAACAAGCGAAAAATGAAAAAAAAAAAAACAAAAAAACAGAAATTCGAAAAAATAAAGAAACAAATTCTTTTAATTTTATAAGAATCACAATCTTATTAAAAATTTGTATTCATATGTATACTTTGTTTGAGATATCTTTAGTTTACAGTCATAATTTAATACTGAAATTTAATAAAGTTGAATTACTTATAGTTGCTGTCACTTTGAAACATTCTGTGCACGTTCGTATGACCAATTCGCGATTGTTAATAAACTAAATCCGTATGGACGGAATTTTGTCTTTAGATTATTAATCTAATGATCTGCATTGTATTTCGCATGACATAAATTAAAATGATGTAAAAATATTAACATTAATTATAGTATCAATGGATAATATTTGTACATTTTTAAATACAAACATAATTTTGTATGTTTTGATGAAATATATAAAACAATTCTACTTTTAATTCTACAATAATTTCTGCGATAAATTAATTTTTATTGTAGCATAAAAAACAAAGCAAAATATATATTTTACAATGTAATTATGCTTTAAAATTTTTAGTCATTTATAACTGTTCATCAAAGAGAGAGGAGTTATTTCCAATGCAATAATACGCTACAAAGAGTACGCAAAATTAATATATAAAAATTAGCATTTTGCATATAATTCAATATATCTGATTTTCGCTTCATAACAATTGCGAGACTAAATTACTGCTTTAATGTTCTGATACACGTATGTATTACATAAATACATATGTATACCATTTGTATTATTTACATACACATGTATTCAATCAATCGTACACAGTTTTTTCATCGGCATATATAATCGATATATATTTTTCACATGTTCTCGTACGAAAAGTTTTATGTATATATAACTTCTCTAAAACATTATACTTTCAAATAGGTCCCTTTCATATCAAAGCGTGTACATTCGTCATTGGTCAAATTGTCGCTATAGATACGAGAGTTCAAGCTCACTTTATCATTATTCGTTATTCATATAGTTTGCCATAGCATGTGAAAACACTCGAAAGTCCATTTGATGTGGAACGTACAAATATCCAAGAATCTACGAACAATTTATTTTAGTTGCAAACGCGCATTACGTGGAAATATAAAAACTGCATAAAATATATTAATTGAAATAAATACAAATAGATATAAAATAGATACTGCATCTTTTATAATTAATAATAATTTATCGATATTATGGATGTATTTTATATTATAGATGACGATTTTAAATGATGGAAATCTCGCGATAACAATAACGTATCGAATTCATCGTTTCATAAATCCCAAGAAATCTTCAAATAAAAAATCTTCGTATACTAGCAATCTGTAGAGCCCTCCTGTTGAGTGCACTGTCAGACGATAGCGCCAAAGAGTACTAAGAGAAATAAGAAACAAAGAGAGAAAGAGAGAGAGAGAGAGAGATGGAGCAAGTATTAAACGTATAGTTGCTCATCTCTCTCTCTCCATATCGTCGAGTGTCCTATCTATCGATCAGAAAAGTTTCATCCTTGATGCTTCGATTAAATACCTGAAGTGTATGTTGTCTCGCTAGATTGCAACTCGCCGTTGAATTTTCTCCAGATCGACATTAACTGCGTTAATAAGTTATGTACTTTTACTCGCAATATTTCAAGACTCGCGCGTAAGACCGGCCTCTTCATGACTTAATTCAGCTTTAATCACATCGACGTAATTAACGAGGAGCTCTTCCGACGCATTTATGGAAGCAATACTCGCGCGCAAACTTGCCTCTCGGTGCAAGCTCGAGAATCAAGTGAAACACTTCGAGGGGTCGGGCAAAAGAAGAAAATAAAAACGACATTGCCGAGACCTTTATCTTGACAGGCGGAAATATCCATCGAAAATACCATTGGTTTAAATAACCAGGACGCGCGATATTTTCCACGGAATATTCGTTTTCAGCGGCCCGGCGCTTTGTTTTTCAACGAGCAGATTTATGCCGTCCTTTGACACTTTTCATTCTGACGATTGAAACGGCGTAACTCACTTTCGGCCGGTGGAAAACTGGGAAAACGTCAGCACGGCGAAACGGCGCTGGAGCGATTTAACCGAATAATTTAGTTGATTTAACGAAAGCCGCGAAATAACGATTTATTTGCATATCAGACATCCGTATATTCGATCGCGTGCGAACGAATCCGAACGAATCTTGTTAAATTTGATTTCTATCACTGTACATATATATAGAAATTTCAATGTGTCGCCTCTTTAAAAAATGCACGATAATATTAAACTTTGAATTTTCAATAGTCTAAAATAAAAAAAGTGTATATGTATGTCTATACATTGGATAAAAGAATAATGCATCATTTATGAATAATTAAATAATGTGTGTGCAAAAACAAAATGCCTTCAAATTTTTGTTTGGAGGCAGTTTATTCAATATATAATGTTCCCTTTCGTAATCTGCGTGTGTATATTTTATATAGAAAATATCTTTCTCTCATATATTTTTACGCATATATATAATGGTTTAACATTTGCATGGATGAAACGTTGACTTTATAATAAATTAGACTATCTAATATGTATAACCTTCTTTATGAAACGTGATATTTTATGTCGAAACAATATAAACGCATAATAAAAGATTCATTAGCATAAAATGAAAATGGTTAAAAGCATATTTCCATTAAAGAGACACACACGTACACACTCAAGTATTACTTAACAATATTATTTCTATATTGTGCGTAAATTGTGCTATCGCTTTTGATCGCTGTCATTTAATCTGCTTTTTTATAATGCATGACCACAAATTAAAAATGTAAAGAGTGAAGTCTTTTGCGTGGTGTCAACACAATAGAACACAAAGATTATATTAATCCGTGTTAATCAATAATAAATCTATGATGATATAATAATCAATAAAAATTTGAGCATATTATAAATTTACGAGAAAATTTTGTTGGTGCATGAATTTTTTAATGAAATTTTCAGCTTAGTCCGGAATAACGAAAAACGCGTGCAATTTTAGATAAAAATGCTTGAAAAAAAATGCGTAAATTATCATTATTTGACTTTTTGAAATAATACAAAGCGCGGAGCACATAACGGGATAACGTTTCGACGATCGTAAGTGAAAGTTCGCATTTCCAGCGGCGAGAGAAACAATGGTCCCACCCTAGTGAAAACATTCCAACCGAAAAGTGCAGAAGGGTCGCCATTTCGCCCCTCTTTATTTTCGATTCGTGTTCTCCCATCTCCCATGGCATGTGTCACCGCGTACTTTTCTTAGTTCCAAGTACCACTATTGTTGACAACTTCCTCCGTAGCTGTCTTAACAGGGTACTTTCCCTCTATTGCGGACGTACTTTTCGTTGACTCATCCGCGATTCAAGGACCCTTATTTGGCAACCTTCAAACGCCTCTTTATATCTTTCCATTTATAATTCGCATAAATGGTGCCATAAATTGACATGTAAATGTTACATATAAAGACAAAATCAAGAATTAGTTATAGTTATATATTATAAAGCTTATTATATTAATTTTATTATAGCATTTTTATATTTTCTTTGCTCTCTCTCTTTGTTCTATGAAAAAATAAAATATATTTCCATGTATAATAAATAAAATCGATATTGTAGAAAAATTTTTCACACCTATACACATAGTGTATTTAATTTAATTATAAAATATTTATACAAGTTACATTTTAAATCATTTATATAATTTAATTTTATTTAATAATTATAACTAGGCATTTTACTCAAGCAAAATATTATTACAATTTTGAATTTCTCACTGGACATTAATTAAAAACAATTAGGTGTTACTGTTCAAAATACCGTCAAGTGCAATGCTAATTCGACAACAACCGTAGAAGTTGTCAGATGGAGAAAATTAAAAGACTTGCATCCGATAAGAGAAAAGAAATGAGAGAAATTAGAGAAATTAAAGAAGATAAGGAGCGGGAATCTCTCGTTTTCTAAAAAATTTCATTCTAAACGTGACCATTTCGAAAATGTAGTCTTATCAAGTAGCGATTCCATGTAATGCAGAAAATAGTCACTGAGTTAGAAAATCGTTTTCATCGATTGACCATTTGCTTATCCTCCCTTCTTCCATCGTCTTTTGCTTTTCTCTACGCGAGTACGTATATATACATATATAACTTGAGCACATACATTTGTCCGCGTAGGTAGGTAGAGATATAGGTAGGTATATAAGTATGCGCTTGATCCGTTGCCAAGAAAACTCCACCTCGGTTCCACCTATCTCAAATCAAGTTTTCGCTCATATTTTCTCGCCGCCAATATTTCCGCCTTGCTTCCTGCGCTCTACCGGAAAGCTTTGCTCCGGCATATGAAACATCCACCAATATTTCGGGCAAATAATCCTTAGTCACACAGCGCGTGCATTCTCGTAAATTCGAGACCGAACGTAATTTTCGGACTTTTATTGCGTTTTTTATGCGTCTGATTTCCATTTCGAAAGTTCTCTTGTATGATCGGTTGGGAATGTTCGTAGAACTGTTACACGAACTATATAAATTATACAGTAAATGCAAAGTATATCGCAACTTTTAACAAAAAAGAAATTGGAGTTGGCAAGGTAATTTACAATGCTTACGATACTTTGCATGGTAAAATAAAATCCCGAGTTTTGAAAACTCTTTGTCTAAAAGCGTTAATAAATTATTTCTGCGCTGTAATTTCCATTATACCTCCATGTATGTATGTGCGTATATAATTTAAAATTATAATAATCCATATACGTATATATAAATTGTGCAGGAATATTACACGTTCTCGAAGTCACACATGCATGATCGCGTAGTTATTGCACGTGATATTTTACGTTAATTCTCTGCCCATATATGCTTCCAAATACAGAGACAAATATACTAGCTGCGCGTTGCGAAATGCAAGATCCGCAATACATTGTGGAAATGTATACGCTATGTGGAAAATGTATATGCACAGCAGAGCAGAGAATATTACATTCGCGAAGACAATGAGACGAAAGCAAACCGCGCGGAAACTCTGTAGTACCATCAACGTGTCAATCAATCCCTCACTTCGGGAACACCCCAGCCGGGTAACATTATCAAAACCCGCTTTCGGAGTTATGAAGATTGCACGTAATGCACTTTAGACTCTCGAAGCTACACACGTAAACGCAAGAGACCATCGCCGGCGCTCTCAGTCTACGACATATAGAAGAGAGGAAAAAGTAGGTGCGAGAGAAGATGGCATCTGTGATGGCATCAGCTTTATGCTTTATGCTTTATGGATGTAGCTTGTATCCGCACGTGACACCGTACGCCCGCGGACATGATGTATGTCCTTGTTTGTTCTACAAATGATAACGTCGTCTTCGGAGCTCTCGGGGAGTTTTCTTGTTCTGGTAACGTAGCGGACGATCGAAGACAAATTCGTTTCTTCTCCCGGTCATATATTCTTCTTGAAAGTAATCCTGGTTGTACATAAAATAAGGTCGCCTTTCCCACCCCCACCCCTCCTCATTTATTTACGGATCATACATTTATATTTCTGCCACGACGCGGTTGACATTGACGTGTACCGTGGGTATCTAGTTTGAAAATAGAACGTAATTTGGAATTTTTTTATTTTACGACATATTTCGCTTCCATGAAATATTATTAATATGCTCATCGATATTATACTTTTTCAAAAAGAACTCTATGTTGCACACGAATATTCATAAAAATCCTTTGATGTAAAATTAAAAATAAACTGCTTTACTTTACACATACTATAATGCCCGAGTTTTGATATTATTAGGATATTTCCTGACTCAAATTTCATATTATTCGGATTTCAAATCCATTCTGACATTTTTATTGGACTCTTTGGGTGTATATATATATCCGGATTTCAACAGCTAAATCCGGATTTTTCGAATATTCGGATTATCCGGATATCTGGACAACTGAAATGTGTAACGATTATTTTTGATATAAAATTTAAGCAGCTCTCTCTCTTTGATTTTTTATAAAATAAATTAATAAGCTTTCAAAAAATTTTGAAAAAAAATGACAAAATTGCTTCTTGCAACATCTGTAAAAATGTAAGTAAGGAGTTAAAAAGATATAATTCTCAAGAGAAAGCCATGTATTTCAAAGTTATGTAATAATTTTATAATCCATGAAATTTTATACTATATGTGTTTTTATATACTATGTGTTATATAGAATCACGTTTCTAAAATACGATACACATTTACGTTTGTTTCTCAAAGAATAACGGCGAGCGACTTCTGTGACTCCACCATCTCTCTAGCTTCTTTCCGCCCATTATTTTTTATCTTATTCTTATATACAGAAACAAAAGGTGCAGCTATGTCAGACAACAAAAGATAAGCTTTATCTACATTAAGAGCAACATAGTCGTAATATTTTTAGCACAAACAGCAATAATAATTTTTTTTGTCATATACAATATAACAAAATAATATGGAAGGTATTTGATATACTTGTGTTATATAGAATAAATAATAAAAAATTTTCCCTTTAATATTATTAAGGCGAACCAATAATTATTCAAGATTAAATACTTGTCACTTGTCAGTTAAATTATATAGCGACACGTTATTAATTTTATAATTTATACAAATAATTTAAATATAAAAAATATAAAAATAGTAAAATATAAAAAAAAGTTGAGATTTGTCTATTTACACGCTATTAAAAATATCTTGATGAAATATATGTCTTATTAATTCAAGTGATACTTGTTGTTTTAGATCGAGGACAATTCGCAGTATAGTGTGCAACACTACAAAGTTTCTCACGAAAACGACACACAATCTACGAAGTCGCAGATACGTTTTAAAGTGACGGAGAGCATGTTTCGCAATGGACGTTTACACCTACGCTGCACGGCCTCCATCGCAGACGTTTATCGGAAATCGGTGGACATCGACATCGCCGAGGACAGACCTCGTCTCGCATCCATCACCGGCGTAAAATCACCACCGTACGGTGGTGAGTAATTATCAATTATATAATATTATATCTACATACTATTCTCTATTCTAATCTTGTTATCTTTAAGAATCCTTTATTAAAAGCCTATATATTTTACAATACATGATATATAAGTTCTGTCTTTCCAAATTATTTAATTTATGGATATGTTAGCAAAGCGATATTTGTATTGATAAAGACTGTCGTACAGTTGAAACGTTTACTAATTATCATTTGTATTATTTTCATGACGTAGAATAAATTGTTAACACCTAATTAATTAGCTCGTTAAGTTGGCCTTTTAATTTTTATAATTTATTTTAATTTACACGAGCCGAATTTTATTTTTCATTATATATATTTAAGAATCCTTTTTAGTCGCTCGAAAAATAACACATGTTTTTTTATAGAAAAAATAGTAGAACTATTTTTTTCTGTCTTTTTATACTTCAACGCAATAATAAAATCGTACGATGAATTCTATCGAAATGTCTATCTTAGATTAAGTAATATCAAATCTAAATATATCAGATATTCAAGAAATTATTTTTATTTTATAATAGACCGACTATTTATCTCGTCATAATTTAATTTTGGAAATTATATATTTGAAAAATTATTAGTAGAGCTATAGTATAATAATACAAATATCTATAAACTACGTGAGTATTTAAAGACTCTGAACTAGACAGATCGTAGACACTTCTCGTTTTCTGTGTATTGTCCTAAAGTTTCTGAGATATATAATACTCTGTAATCGCAATCGAATAAATGACACTCATCAAATTTACAATGAACAAAAATTTAACTCACACACATATTTCTGCGAAGATCGATATTTTAAAAAAGAAATAAGTGGCAATGGTAAACAGAAAGGCTGTCACAGCAGCGAGAGCATACTTTCTAAGCCATATATTGGCCTTTCGTCATGACAATGAATCAATGCAGCATCGATAGCAGCGCGATCAACTATCTTCGACGGTACAAGCTATGAAACCGGAACGAGCATTAGTTCGATATATCTATTGCAACTGGTAGTCAAGCGTGAGCTTACGAGTCGTGCGATGCCATTGAACTGAACGAACTTTGTTGATCAAGCTAAATGGGACGGCACAGCGCGTATAAATGCTCTTTCTATGCGCGAGTAACACACGTCAAACGCGATGAACCGAGTTGTGCAGTTGGATCTCAAATTTAACGAGGCAAACTATCTTTTTTCTTCTCTCTGTCTATAACAATATCAATTTTTTGTCACATATATATATATATACTTATTATAATATATTTATATTATTTTATATATATATATATATATTTCATTTTTATTCTATTATAGTATATATATTTTTATTATTTATTAATTATATATTTATTATATTATTTTATATATTTATATTATTATTTATATATTTTTATGAGAATTATCGATTGCAACGAGTAATAATGGTAACTCACATACGTATGAAATACGCGCATAATAATCGATATCGCGACTCGAGTGCTGATTTGCAGTCGTCTAATAAAATACGATGTACGATCTTTTCCTCTCTATCGTAATTTTCGAGACGAATATTCGATTTCCATGGTTGCATGCAGTTTCGCGAGATATGCAGACAACGAGGGGTGGTTCTTTCTGAGAGAACGCGAGTGTAATAGAGGCTAAGAGCGAAAATAACATTTATGGCCTCTGCGACCCCATGAATGTATCGAACCATGTGCAATCTTTCACGTGAATCACGCTGTCCAGCGACAGTTATGCGTTCTTCGCGCTCGTATCAGTCGCTCGCCAAGAAATCGCAGGGGCTACGATTGTTCCAACTGACAAAGCATAACCATTATCCGGTTACGGAAAATGCTCTCGCATCCGTCTCTTCCCGATCGAATCACTCCACGGCGATTCATCTGTCACTCCGATTTAATACGTGTCTTATTTCCGACTTCCCACTTCCACCCTTCGAATCGCGTCGCGCGTGCAATCGCATGTAAACGTAAAAGTTGCGAAAGCAAATTCATTCCCTTCGGAAGCAGAAGGATGACTCATGGGAATATCTCTCGCTGCGATTGCGCACGTCTCAATGATCTTTACGATACGTAATATAGCGATCAATAAATGCAATAAAAGCATAATGTCAAAGTTATATCGTATATTATTTCGAAAATCATATTGTTGATGTAGATTTCAATTATATAATTAATCTACTCGAAGAATATAGAGGAGAGAATTGCTTAAATCATTAATTATATACTTGAGATATTTTCCTATTTGATACTAAGAATAAATTAATATATTCTAAGTCTTTATATAACATAGTGTATAACGTTTCGTCTAAATAGTTTTACGAATGAAAATAATAAATAATTAATTGAGAAAAATATAATTGATTTAATAATATAAATATATTTATAAACATATTAAAAACAAATAAGGAATCATCCAGCCTATAATAATTATGAAATATTTATATTATATCAATTGATACTTCTTGATTAAAATCATATTTCAAATCTTTCTCTATATACATATTGTACATGCCTTATGTATCTAGCAATTAATAATCATATATTTAAAAACATCCCTCGGAAAAGTACCGTGACAATCTTGGAAAGTTGCGGGATATTCTTTCTGACGCGTCCTTCTTTTCCATCTCCCAGGAGAGATTTACTCAGGACTGATAAAGAGCCGCACTATTTTTCTAAAGATTTTAAATTACCGAGCGGTTTATAAATAGGGGATTATAGCGAGACGGTAGCGTTGCGTTATATACACTATATTTCCTCCCCGCGTGCACAAAGCCCGCAAAACTTCCTGAAGATCCTTCGCCGCGAGCCATTAATCAATGACGAAGAGAGGTAAGGCCGAGTTACCAAGTTATTTGATTGACACCATAAAGATCGTTAATAGCAAGAGTGCCATCGTATCAGGGCGAGTGGCGTACACATTTATCACACAAAATGTCGGTAACAGCAATTTATACAAACACAGGGATATGGTGCACGGTGTATCCCTCATTCGCGTAATTTAACGATGATTAAACTGCGCCTCATTACAAGAGGCAACAAAATGTAATTGAAATCGCTTGCCGTCCGATATCGATCGCTCTCTGTCAGCGCTTATTTGTACGCATAACGCAGACGAGACTTCTCTCGCGGAACCATATTTACGTAAAATACATATCCAAGAGCCTTGTTTGAGTATTAATTAAAACCCTCTGGCGCACAAATGAAATATGTCGATTGCTTGCGCGTCACTTGATCGCGTAATAATATCCGCGTGCTTGTGCGAAGGATATTAAATAATAAAATAAGAACAACGCGACCGATATGACTCGGGATTATTTTCGCTGTATACAAAAACCTACTCCGTAGAGAGGAGGCCAGCTATTTCTCTCGTCTCTGAAATTGTCGGCTCACTTAGGTCCTGCCTTCCTCCGGCGCTATTAATCAATGAGGAATTCAGCAATTAACGCTCCGGTTTTATTAACGTTCCGCGGAGTTTCGTCGCGTATAGGCGTTATTTATGTGCGTGTATGTACATGCGACCGATATTTGTGGAAATATATTTCGTCAAGTATCAGTTTGCATTTCTTTCACTAACAAATATAATTTTTATGTATAATTAAAAATATATATGAGACAAAAAGTGCAAATTGAAAAATATATATTACGCAAACGTCCTCGTCTGTGAAATTTTTTCAGTAAAAAAAGAAAATAGCCATACGAATATAATAACAGGATTGATTCTCATAATTTTATATGAGAAATAAATTTTTAATAAATATTCAAAAAATATCAAGTATCAACAATGAGATGGATACCGATGATGAAATACACACTTTCAATAAATTATCTCAATATCCCAGAAAAATCGATCGTAAATTCAATCTGTAATCGGAGCTTACCTACTCGCCCGCTAATCGAAGATATCGATTCGATGAAAATCTTTTGACCTGAATAAAATCTATCGCGTAGCTCGCGCTAATAAAAATAAATTATTTACAAAAGCAAGCGAATAATTTCGTTCGTTCGGAAGCGACGATTCTTCGAAACGTGTTCTCTCGCACGGAGTGAATCATCAGCGCGATTTACGGTTTACATTGTCACGATTACAGGACCGATTTCATGGTCGAAGTCGCTATATTCGCGGATGGGGGATGCGATAAAATGCACCGCCATTCTCGGCGTGATCGGGGATTTCATCGATGGCGTCGATGGTGCCTACTCTTAGTCGTCGATACCATTACTTCGCAGTAAAAAGAGCGTAAACGTGACGTTAGGACTTAGCGCGAGTCTACAATCCCCGTTTGCTTTCGCTATCCTTCGCGGATCCTTCTCAACCCCCGATAGTTCGTCGAACTCCGTTTCTCTTTTATGTCATCGTGGCGACGCCGACGTCGTCTTTTGTTGGCAAAACGAGCCAAGAAACCTATTAAAAATCCCATGCTCTCGAGTCTTAATAACGTTACTGATTGTTCAGTGGTGATACTCGCGCGCGACGAGATTACACGAGACAGGGAAAAACTTATCGCGGACAGCAGCGTAATTCCGAGCGATATCTCGCTCGTTTAATGCAAATTATTGAGCTTTCAATCACCGGCATGATGACTCCTACGATTTTAGCTCGCTCGTGCTGATAAAATGACGTATTTGCCGTTAAATTTATCACGAGGCTGTGCCATATTCAATATTGTATAATATTGCTGCCTCGGAGATACACAATCGTGGTTAAATAATATGCAATATTTTTCATAAATTGCAGTGATAGTAATAAACTTTGATGTTAAATTTTATTAATTATATGGTAAATGTGTGTGTGTGTGCTGACTAATCAAATATTTGATTTGTAAAAAGAGTAACAAATTATACCATAAAATCATATCAGCTCTTTTATAAGCAATATTCATTTCGTGGAGAAAAATATATGTAGATAAAATATGTATTGATTTATTTCTTATATTATAAATAATTTCATGACATTTAAAATACGTAATTGTTGAAATGCATAAAATTGTTTTATAATA